CACCCCCACAGGTCATTTGCCACCATCCATGAGTCAGGACAGAGGTAGAGCATCGACGACTTTTCTCTTTCAGCAATGTCTAAAGCCAGCTGGTTGGCTTTTACCTCTGCAAACTGGCTCGATTCACCTTCTTCAGCAGCTTCTGCAACCTGTTGTGTAGGACTCCATACAGCAGCCTTGCACCTCTGATCTTTTCCCACAATACAACAGGACCCAGGAGTGAACAGGGCATCTTGCTTCTCATTTTCTGCTAGTTTATTATACAGTGGAGCCTCTTCTGCATGCGTCACCTCCTCCTCTGGCAATATTCTGAAATCTGCTTTCTGGACAGTCCATAATCACTTCCAGAATTCCTGTGTGACTGGGTTTCCTATTTGAGCCCACTGTGTGATCAATGTGACCCACTTATTTGATGTAGCATCAGTTGCATGATGCGCAGAGGACACCCTCCCTTTGAACATCCAGCCCAGCACCGGCAGTCAGGGTGCCAGGAGGAGCTGTGCTTCAGTACCAATCACTTTCAAAGAAACTCAAACCCCCTCATGTGCTGCCAATATCCCTTGAACTTACTTTGTTTTATGGCAAAACCAGCCTTCAGAAGGATTTGGACTATTTTCTTCCCTTTCTCACAGACTTCTTCTGCTGTGTTGCTCCATATGATGATGTCATCAATGTATTGCAGGTGCTCCAGAGCTTCACCCTGTTCCAGTGCAGTCTGGATCAGCCCATGGCAAATGGTGGGGGTGTGTTTCCACTCCTGTGGCAATCGATTCCACGTGTATGGGACAACCCTCCAAGTGAAAGCAAAATGTGGCCTGCACTCTGCTGCCAAAGGGATTGAGAAAAATGCATTGGTGATGTCAATTGTGGCGTACCACTTGGCTGCCTTTGACTCCAGTTCATATTGAAGTTCCAGCATATCTGGCACAGCAGCACTCAGTGGCAGTGTGACTTCATTCAAGCCATGACAGTCTACTGTCCATTAGACTTTCGCACTGCCAGTAGAGGACTGTTAAAGGGTAAGTATGTTCTGCTGATCACTCCTTGGCTCTCCAGTCAATGAATCAGCTTATGAATGGGAACCAGGGAGTCTCGGTTGGTGTGATATTGCCACCGGTGCACTGTTGTGGTAGCGACTGGTACCTGTTGTTCCTCAGCCTTCAGCAACCCAACAACAGAAGGCTCCAACAAGAGACCTGGCAAAGTGGGCAGCTGTTTAATTACCTCTGACTCCAAGGCAGATATTCCAAAAGCTCACTGCTACCCTTTTGGGTCCTTGAAATACCCTTTCTGGAAGTAGCCTATGCCCAGAATGCACAGAGCCTCTGGGCCAGTCACAACAGGGTGCTTTTGCCACTCATTCCCACTTAGACTCATTTCGGCTTCCAGTATAGCCAACTGTTGGGATCCCCCTGTCACTCCAGAAGTACAGATGGGTTCTCCCCCTTCATATCTTGATGGCATTAGGGTACACTGGATGTGCCCACCACCCTAGGTACTTGCCCATGCTATCCCACACACCCTGCCACTCATAACTATTCAGCCTATTCACCCAGATCCCTGGGTGATATTTTCAAATGGTTTTTTTAACCCTAAACGAGATGTGAAGCACAGTCAGGACACATAGCAATAGCAACACGCTGGTTTCAACATCCAAAGGACATTAAAAATTCTCAAGAGCTGTTGTAACTAGCCTGAAGGAGACAGGGAAGGTGAAAGTATTCCCCCCTGTCTCGCCCATAGATGGGTTCTTCAGGGAAAAAAGGTAGAGAGGTGTGATTATTAATAATTCCCGGGAGATGGCGCCCGAGGTACCGAAGAGGCAGAAGTGCTGGCTACTCAGACCGAATCGTTCTCACGGCCAATAATGTTATCTTATCATAAGCGAGTAGAACACAGTGCAGCAAAAAGAAAATTCTCATCCAGCTCCCAGAGATGATAAACAACACCGCAGGGAATACATAATGCAGACAAGGGCTTACATGGCACAACCATGCAAAGAAATAATATAACATGCTGACAAGGGACTATTAAACTAATATAATGAATGCTCACAATTAATTTGTTTTAACACATTCTGGTCAGATCTATCGTTATCTCAACCCTTCATGCCCCACCTGTTGTGATATAACCCAGCAGGCAGCTAAAACAACCACACAGCCGTTCGCTCAAAGACACCACCCCCGAGTGGGATGGGGGAGAGAATTGAAAAGAAGAAAGGTAAAATTTGTCAGTTGAGATAAAGACAACTTTATAGGACATAAAATGAAGATGATGATGATGATGATGACGACGACGATGACGACAATGATGATAATGATGATAGTAATAATAAAGTGAGGCACAGCACAGTTGCTCACCAACCAAAGTCGATGCTCAGCTAGTTCCTGAGCTGCACCACCTCCTGGTCACCCCCTAGTTATATACTGAGCATGAAATTATATGATGTGGAATATCCCTTTGGCCAGTTTGGGTCAGCTATCCTGGCTGTGTCCCCTCCCACCTTCTTGGGTGCCCTCCACCTTCTCTCTGGCAGGGCAATATAAGAAGCTGAAAAGTCCTTGACTACTTGGCAACAACTAAAACATCAGTGTGTTCGCAACATTATTCTCATCCTAAATACAAAACACAGCACTATAGCAGCTGTTAGGAATAAAACCAACTCTATCCCTGCCAAAACCAGGACACTGATTTAGATTTGTACTCAGAAGCATCAGTTGTCTTTCTGGGACTTAGCCATTAGTGATGTTCAGAGTATCCTTTCACCTTCAGCACACCTCTACTGCATTATGATGACAAATACCAGCTCAGTCCCAGTCCTTGCTGAGCAAAGAGATTCCACATGTTTGTGCTGTTTTCACAGTCTTTTTCCATTACAAACCTGGAAGGACAGATGAGGTTTGTAACCTGTCACACTTTGAAGCTACTTCAATAAAATGGAGAGAAGAGAGTCCTTCAGTGCAAAGACCCTCATGCCACCAACCTCCTTTTTAAAGATCATTACTGTACAAGCTCTTTGAGTAGAAGAAACCTCAGCTATGGAAAGAAGCACAGCAGATTCATCTATACTTAATTCTGGGTCAACTAATTCAGTTGCCTAAGGGCAAGCATTTAGTACCAGTGACTACAGAGTATCCTGGCAGACATGGTACATGGCTTAAATTCTTGAGAAGACCCACAACTTTCAAGAACTGCAGCTGGTGGCCAATCAGGATACCCTAGGAAACCTCAAATAGCACTAGCTGCCTACATGTTGGCAAATTAATGGGTAATATTTCAAAATTATACTTCTGGGATTATGCAAGCATAGGCTTCCTTTGCAGCAGATTGAAAGAGATAGATTCTTCCAGATGATGATTCATCTGATCATCCTAGATGAAAATGCTTTTCACAGGATGCCTGTCTTAGGATAAGGTGAATCATTCTTGGGGTACCTTGCCTCAGTCTTTAGATCAGACTTAGATATCTAAAGACAGACATCTCCAGGACTGCTCAGGATCCCGGATGTGCTAGTGTTGTGATCCAGTTATTCTCAAATATGTCACAAGCTTTTTCCATGTAACCTCTTTGCTATATCCTTGGTTTTTAAATAATTTTACAGGTAGACGTCAATTCCCTTCTATCTTTTCAGATCTGTGTATTTGAAATAGCAAAGCTGAGCAGTAACCATCTACAAAATACCAATCACTCTATAGACTAGAATAAAGTTATTGTTTAGACTTCTTTACCAAATTTCTATTTGCTGTGGATAAAAGTTTGTGCAAATAAACTAAGCTTGTCAAAACCCAAATGCTTGATATCATAGAAAACTCAAAAATTACAATTTCCTTTCATTCTGAATTGAACCTCAATTTATCATAAGACCTAATTTCAGTATAAAATTTGTGTTTCTTTATGTTAATAACTGCCCAGTTTTCATTGCCAGATTTTTCTATTAACCATATACTCAGCTACATTTTTTTTTTTTTAATCAGCATTTCATACAATACAAATTGTGGAAAATACTTCATTTACAACAATCAGAACATTGACATGTCTATGAGCAATATTTGCTTGATTTTTTCTGGATTTTTAGGAGTACCTTGGCAAGTATTATACAGAAAAGGGAAGGCATCAGGCTGTGGAGATAGCAGCAGCTGCATAACAAGGAATCTTAGAGACATACAGGCAGTCATAGGTGTTCAGGTAACCGGGAATCTGGACTACAGCACTATGAGCATGACTCAGAGATCATAGTGTGGAGCTCCTGACGTAGAAAACTACCAGCTCTTTCCAGGACAGCCCAAATGGGAAAAGAATACATGAATGCACAGGTGATGAGTTGTGGGTTTTCTGGGTTTGGAAATGAGTAGGCATCGCTTGGATGATTTAAAAAGACCATTAACATTTTTTTATTTTTATCAATGTTATCTTCTATTTGTATTTCAAATCTTTTATCTCTGTTATAAACTCAGGAAGGACTTTGTAGTGAGTGTCCATGATATTGCTAGAAATTACTAGTACTTAGAATTAAGGGAAGACTGTATTATAAAATGGCATAATGCAAGTTCAAATGCACAATTCTTCATCTGTTTTAGTGAGAAGCACAAACTTGTTACTGCACCACTAAGTGCATTGCATTACATTAAGGAGACTACACATTTAAAAACATAGGTTGGCTATCACAAAATGAAATGATCTCGTGATGTATTAATGGCTAAAATTTTCCCACTGCATGACATTTCTGACCTTCTCTGGTTTTATTTTTTATCTCGTTACTATTTACACAACATTGCCGCTAGATGTCAGATTACGAAAGAGCCCTACTAGTCCCACAAATGCATGAATCTGTTTAACAGATGAATTAGAGGAAAGTATCGCACAGGGAAAAATGTGGTAGGGGGAAGAAAAAAAAAGTAATTTTATTGATCTGTAGCTTTTGGCAGTATTAAATTACTGATCTTCTAGGAAGAATCACACTGTTGTGACACACAAGAATACAGGAAAGCTCCTGAGGCCACTTTATTCCTTTGGGCTTTTACACTGTTTTTAAAGCATGTTTCAAATAATGTCTTATTCATTACAGGAACTTTTAAGCATTGCCACAATGCTAACACCAAACAACAACAGAAAACAGATACAGAGCTTACCCAATGCAAATTAAAATCATATAAAGAAAAAATAACTTATGAAGTTTAGTTCCTTCAGTCGTTACAGATTTACCTATATTTATAACTCAGCTGGTTCAGTGGCACTGCCCTTCAACTCCGTGCTCATGGCTAGATAAAACTCACTATGGGGCTTGGTGATGAAATATCATGCTATGTTTACATCCAAGCAAGTTGTCAAACTGGACACAGTAAAGAAAACGAGACTTGGTACATCCTCTATGTCATGTCATGGAGTTGATGAACAGTCTCCATAGCAGGTTAAGGGACCTTGTGCAAAGATCAGAGTTAGGAAGACAGCCCTGGACCACATCCTGGCAACCAACAGAAGGACCAGCCTTGGACCATAAATCCTGTTCCTCTGTCATTGTGGTCGCAACTTCACAGGACAAGAAAGGGGAGGGATGTGGAAAAGGCAACGTTCTGTGTGCAAGTACAGGACAAAAAAGTTTGCCCACTTCCTTCCAAGAAAGAAGGGCCTCAGTATATATTAAGGACATAGTTTCTGAAACCCTACATGGTGGTGGTTTCTTTCTCTTTCTTCTGCTATTATTTGCTACATCATTGTGACTCTTATCCCTTTGATGGCCCACATGGGACCCTGGCACATGCTTTTGCCTCAGTGAAGGACTGGGAGGGGACAATCAACAGTGCAGCGGAGTGGATCATGGGAACAAACGGTACGTGGAAGTAGCTTGTAAATTTTGCAGATTTAAGGACTTCCTATGGAACAATCCTTGAAATTTACATCCAGAAATCAGTCTATTCCTGAGCTATCTATCTGGGGAGAAACAGCATAATGATGTAGGATGAACAATTTTAAATGTGGAAGTGTGAATTGTGAAATCCTACACTGGGGGATAAATTTGAGGTAATTTTGGAAAGTGAATACTATATGAACAGACTGAGAAGCCTTAATCCCAAGCAAACTCACTGAAACAAGTATAAAGAAAAGGATCTAATCTTACTCTTTCATAACTGGACTAACTCAATAAATCCTGAAAGAGTTATTTCTGACCTATCATTGTGTAGCAGGAGGTGGGAGGACAAAATCTGCTCCATCATTATCTGTGAGAGTAATTTAATAAAATAGCACAATCCACAGTTTTTACTGCTAGCCACTGAGGACCAACAGATGTATATATATATAAACTCATCATGTTGTTTATTGTTGTGCTTTGCTAAGGAGCCACTGGATAACAGTTTCCCTGTTGTGCAGCAGGAGGGTCTATGACCCCAGTATGAGTGATTGCTGGTTTAATGCTATTCCTGAAGAGTTTTGCAAGATCACTGCTGGAACATTTATCAGCTTGTAGTGTTAATGAGAAAAATCCTGAAATGTCTCTGGGACATACTGGTTCCTTCAGTAGACTAAATTAAGCAGTGTCAGAGAAGTAATAATCTATATATACTGTTACATTATTAACTTGGTCCCTGGCACAGCTTTCTCCTGGACAAACTAGCATTTGGACATGACTCAGGAGTCAGTATGGTTCAGATACCTTCCTCAGGAAGCAATCTGCATGTACCTGCCCTGTTTTGAAAGATAATTTTAGGTAAGAGGAGACTTGTTTCAGGCCTTTTCATTTTATTATTACAGTGATAGTCAATGTTTGCTCTTTGTACCTTAATGGCTGGCCACAATCATGTGGATAAGCATGACATGCCTGACCCTGCTTTCTTGTTTATATCATCAGGTTTTGTTCCCATCTGATGGGTTTTCTGTCTTCCACGTGGTTCTTACCCAATCCTTTCCCGTTCAGGGTGCTCTAATAGCACATCTAGGTTTTAGTAATGTTTCTTTTTGGAGCTGATAAGGAAAACAAATGCAACTCTTAGCTAGAAGTCAGAGATCCAACCTTAAAATCCTCTAAAAATTGCAAAAGCCTTTTTTTTTCCCCACTGCTTCATAATGGGTTTTCTGAGAGCATATCCTCTCATTCATCTCAGTCCTGTTTGGGTGGGTTTGCTTGATAGTGCCACTGAAATCTACTGCCGTGGGAGGTCCTGTTCAATGCCTGGTGTTTGTCCAATCACATTCTATAAAATCCTTCTTTACAAGGCAGACGTAAGACTAATATCTTCTATTATGGTGTCACTTCGTCTCTAGTCAAAACAACAACAAACTTCAAACATATCCAAAGTATCTGACAAGCCACTGTCTGCAGACCTCTCTGCCAAGCCTCAGGACTATCTTTTTTCTAACCTGCCCCATAGCTCAACTTTTGTCTGCCTAATTTCAGTATCCATATAGATTGTCTCATCTGAAGACTTTAGAAGCCAAATGCCACATTATTTCTCCAGTATCTCAGTTTACCAGATAGGTCCAACTCCAGCCATAGATCAGCAACCCAAGTGAAAGCATTTCCAAGGACACAAACATCAGCACTTGCACAGATTGCCACTGTCTTCTCCAAGTTTCTGCAAATGTTCAATAAATTTGGTCTTCTGAGATATGGGAAACTTTTACCTTTTCCAAAACCAGTGTAAACTCAGAACCCTGACATCTAACCCTGAGGTGGTAAGAAATATAATCATCTTCCCATCATAGAAATACCTATGAGGTTTTTATAATTATTTAGGATTTAATTTATTCACTGTTGCTGCCCATGAATTTGGACATGCTCTGGGCCTTGGCCATCCCACTGATCCATCTGCTTTGATGTTTCCTACTTACAAATACCAATCTCCATTTTGATTTTGTTTGCCAAAGGATGACGTGAAAGGGATCCAAGCATTGTATGTTACATTCTATATACCTCTTAAAGGACAATCTACTTAACATGAAATGAAAAGAATTGCAGGCAGTTTCCGCCTCTTTTGATGCCATTATACTGCTGGGAAAAGTAATTCTCTTCTTCAGAGACGGGTAAGGTTTACACTCCCTCTGTTATCCAATATGCTAGTCATGACTCAAGAAGTGTTTCTAGATGTTTTGCAGTTTCTTTGTTTTGTACAGTTTCTCAATGTTTTGCATAGTTTCATTGTGGAACAGCTGAAACCTGAGGGTTTTTGTTGGCGGTAAGTTTTTGGAAGATATGGAAACTGTATGTTTCCCTAAGACTTTGTTGTCCAGCTGCGATAAAGGAGATGAACACTTATTTTCCTCCAAAGAGGTTAAATCATGACTGCACTGAAGTCAGTCGTAATTTCCTTTATACTTGGGGGAAGATTCTGCCTTCAAAGGATTACAATATCTTAACTAAAAAAACACTCTGAGAGACAACTGTGTCTGGTCTGTGGGACAGGTGGTCCTTTCCCATTACAAGGAGTCCTTTGAAAGCAAGGCCACCGTTTGACTTGGACTTGTAACCTCCTGAGCAGACACTTCAGTGGCTCGGGAGGGTGAAGATCGATGCATCCCCTTTCTTTGAGAGCATCAATCAAATTATCACTTAGAATAGGGCAGCCATTGATTGCTTGGATCCGTTTCAGCCCAAGCTTACAGCAGAAATCCCAGATCCTAATTCTTCTGCTGAGCTAGGACAACTTCTCCCTCTTTGCCAGCCTGCCACTTCTTTGCAGCTACTGCAAAACTAGGGACCAAGGGGACCAAGAACCTCTTTTGTGAAAAAGGTAAAGTTCTTTCAGATACCAGTCAATCAGCATTCTGCTTAAAGCTGTGACAATCACTGTTTCCCTTGGGCTTTCCAGACTTAAAGCAGTCAGCATGTTTGTACCATTTTGGAGCAACAGTCCATTGAAATCTCGTATACTGCTACCACACTTCACCACAGCCCACCACGAGCTGGTAGGGTGTCATGCAGGGTTTCGCTAGACTTGTGCCTTATAGCACTTTTTGCCAAAAAAAATGATTGTCAGCAAAATACTTTGGAAAACAGGGAAAACTTCCTAAAATAAAATGTAATTTATGACATTTTCATTTTTCAACAGGAACTGAAAAATGCCCCAGATTTCATAAACTGGTTGCCATATCCTTTGTGGCCTGTGAGTCATCTCCTAGATCCCTGGTGGGAAAAATTTTTTTAAAAAAAAGTTTTTTATGACCCCTCAGTCTCTGATTCTGAGGCTTCTAGAGGAGATACCACCTGCAAAAGTGCCTGACAGACCAGAAGTAACATGACTGTAGCTGGACTAATGCATTAATCAGTGCTGGGGACTGATCTCGAGCTGTAGATATAACCAATACGACCAGATCAAAGAGAAATCATAGGACTGATATGATGAGGCTACTAGACTGAAGCATATAAAAAAGCATTTTGAATAGAGTCTAAAACCTAAGGCTACACCTGTAGTAGGAAATAAAATACAATTGGGACCATTGTCTGACATGGAGGCCAACACCCCCGTGCTATTAAACTCTCTTAATCTCCAAGATAGGTTGGCTACAGACAAACTGGTTATTGGGAATGGTCCCTGACCCATGATGTCCTGAATAGTGTCTGGGAACTGTTCCGGGCTGGTCTGTTCCAACTGACCCTGGTTGGTCTGAAATGAAACCATGCAGGAGCCATGCCAGCAATTCAGCAATATAGAGGATTGAGATCTAGTGCCTGAGAACGTTTTTTGGTGCCACAAAAATTACTAATACCAGACATAGCCTGAACATCCATCCATCTCGCTCACACTCCATCAAATACCAGGCTCACGGGTACCAGTGCAGCAGCTTCCAGTGAGACCCACAAGGCAAAATGCTTTCTGCTCTTCTCACCTAGTCTCCTTCCTCTTAATTTTATGCCCATTTAGTTAGTTCCCATTTAATTTTATGCCTGGCAGTCTGACAAGAGAATTTAGATGACTGACAAGAATTTGAATCAGAGTTGCAACTGCCGCAGCTGTTTCACAAGAGGCAACATAACAGTGGCTTGTAGAAAGCCATGACACCAGAGTATAAAAGGAAAGAAATTATAAAGCAGGATATCCTTGGAGACTGCTACTGCTCATTCAAAACAGATGTGAAACACATTGGTCTAGTGGTAAAATGAACAGACACAAGATTACCTTAGAGATCTGGCCCAGTAAAATTGCACAGAATCTTTTTAGACACACACACAAGCATATGCATATATATACATGTGCATATATCTATATAACTTTGAGCAGGATCCCACCAACATATTGCAGGGGTGCTCCGTGTGTGTAGTAGCTGCACGTGAAAAAGCTGCACTCAGCAAATCTGTAGCCCTTTGACTCTCTTGCACTCCTCTTCCCACCCCACACAGCCTTCATCAAGGTAGCTATGGGTTTACTGTAACCAAGGCACCAGTCCTGGTTGCAGTAAATTCAGTGCAGATTTTCTATGGCTTCCTCTCAATAGATCCTCTACAAGGTAAATCTGTTTTCTACTCGCCAGATGAAAGCCCTGCAAAATCATTTATATATGTTCCGCTTGCATCACATGTTCACATTCAAGGATGGAGGAGGATGCTTTCTTGACCAGAACTTTGTGCTGCCCCAGACTATCTGTTATGAAGAGTCTTGGGCTAGACCATCCTAGCAGAAGATGGTGAAGAATAGGGAGGACATTGGAGAGTAACATCCCTTTCACTTAACCACAGATTTCTATTATACAGGTGATTACATGAAAATTAATCCTTAGTGTCAGTGCAGAGAAACAAGCACTTTTGGGGAATGAGCTGTTTCATTCTAAAGCATACAGCTAAAGTCAGAAGAGATGAATCCATACTTGACATCAAAACCTACTTCTGACAGTATGACAAAGACTCGTGTGTAATCTACATTAGTGTTCTCCTTCTTGCTAGCCCAGTGGTACGACTCTGACAGGTTTCTTGAACCTCTTGATTTGAAGGGAACACAAAGTTCAAGCTGGCAATCAAGTCTATTCAGCAAAGCAGAGTCATCTACAACACTGTGAATCTCACTGACCTCCTTCCTTTCCTCAGCTCATGTTTAATGCTGTTATAAAGTTCCCGAGAGCGATTTGGTTTACTTTTTAAAGGTCATTTGTTTCTGGAGGAAAAAAAAGAAAGAAAAAAAAGAGTAAAATTGTTTACAAAAGAAAAAGCTCTCCAGAGCTCCAGAGATCTCTTACTGCTTTCTTGAAAGATAAATACAACTTAGACCATTAGTTTGGGGCACAGGAGTACAGATTCAACACTGAGAAAGGGAATGTCTAAAGCTAACTGTCCATTCAATGTCTTTTTGAGTGGATCAGTCAGCTGGAGATGGTGAAAGATTTTATTGGGTTTGTGTGGCAAGGTTTTGGTGGG